ATCGAAATTTTTTTTTTTAATTTCTTTTCTCGTTACGTCATAATTTTATAGACCAAAAAAAAATAAGTTCCTGAAAGTTTCAATTCAAAATTTAAATTTTGAAAGGTCGCTCATAATTTTTTTTTAATTTTAGAGTCAAAAATGCTAATCCAATTAAATAGTCACTAATAAATTAAAAAAAAATTATGAGTGACCTTCTAAAATTCACATTTTAAACTGAAACTTTCAGGAAAACCTTTTTTTTGGTCTATAAAATTATGACGTAACGAAAAAAAAAAAATTTGATTTTTGACGATTTTTGAAATTTAAAAAAATTTGGAGCGACATCTTAAAAATTTTTTTTTAAGCTGTCCTTTGGAGAGACCTCTTAAAACATCAAAAACTTACATTTTTTCACTCGAGACTCAAAAAAAAAAAATAGTTGCTTTTTTGCGCCACCCTATTGTCTATATATTTATCATCCTTGTATTTTCTTTCTGATATATCGGTTTCAATAATAATAACAATATTAATAATAATAATAATCTTCTTAACAGTGACGTTTGCCACTGGAGTAATTTTCTTTATAAAATTTATTATAAAGTATCTTTGGAGCAGAAGTGGGTCGGATTGTTAGTTAAGCAGGATCAGGATCAGGATTAAAAATAGTATTCTTCAGTATAAAATAATAATAATATTAAATGACTAGAAAAAAATAAATGAAATTTGGCGACGGAGGCAATCGTAGAGGAAGGACGTGGAAATGATCTTTAAACTCGTAAATTTGTTCTCTCTCTACTCTACTCTCGACTTTAAAAATTAACATGTAAAGTAAATGTCTATTAAAGATAGTATATAAAAATTTATTTAATATTCATTGATTTGTTGTCTGAAATTTAAAATTATTAAACAAATCAACACACTAAAATCAATACTTAGACATAAAAAAAAAAAAAAAAAACTAATAATAAATAAATAAATAAATAATTAAATAAAAACAAAGCTACGTTTTAGAAACTACAAAAGATCATTCACTTTACAATTTAAAATTCAAAATAAAATAAATAAAGCAATACAAATACAATGCAGTCGATTTAAAAGAAACGTTGGATCGACTGCCTCTGTCGCGTTTCAGTTTTAACTATTTAAATAAAAAAAAAAAAAATTTAATACAGAAGGTAAAAGATAAATTTATTAAAATTAATATTTTATGTATTTAATATATGATTCTATACACGGAAAAAACAAGATGACACTGAATATCATCCCAAATTATACTCAGTGATCTGTGGTGAAAAAAAATTTTAGATAGTAGCTAAAAAAAATCCAGATAATACTGATATCTGGATTATACTAGCTGCTATCTGAAATTTTTTTTCGCTCAGTATAATCTGGGATGATATCCAATGTCATCTTGTGCTTTCCGTGTAGATCGGTAATTTTAATTAATAAAAAGGAGAAACAAAGATAGTTATTATTATATGCCGAAGTACCCGATCCAATTTTTGAAGAATGACTAATTTTTCATTATCCATAGATTCGGTAGAATCTGGCGCCAAGTTCCGTTTAAATCCGTTGTCAACAGAGCGCCAGACTACCGAGTGTGTTTACTGTCAGCAGAACGGTATTTCGAGGTTGCAAAATTTTATTTAATTCTACGGTACTTTTTTTTCCTAAATTTTATATTATAACAGTAATTCATACTTTATTTTACTGATATTAATTAATTATATTCAATTATAACAATTAATCTACTTGAAATTAATAAATTTAATCAGCACAAACTATAGCAACGCAAAAATTTCGATCCTGACTTTTTTTCGATGGGCAAAGTGATCTGCCACAGACTAAATAATTCGAGAATACATAGTAATCCTTCATTAGATGGGAAACTACAGTCAAAAAAAGATATTTCACAGCTTGCATCTACACCCACCAGGGTGCGCTGGAATTATTTTTACATAAACTGTAGCTTAAAAGGGATAGTTTGCTATAAAAAATACAGCCAACGCGAGATTTAA